ATTAGTTTAAATTGATAAATTGTTAATCTAAATAATAATAAAAAATAATTTTAACCGGTACTTGGTAACCTTCTCTGTGGGATCGACCCTGCTTTCTGCTTTACTGCTAGTAATTGTATTAAGTAGGTAATTAATTATTTGACTAGTGTGACGACGGCTTGTCAACTTCAAATTCAAGGTCTATGACCTACTTACCTATGATATGTATTGTAAGTTACTATTTTTCTTTTTGGAGTCAGTATGACTATGGAAACACAATTCATATTATCGTCATTCTTTTCTAATCTTTGCAGGATAATCTTTGGAGCCACCACGACTGTGGATTTAGGTGGCAAGTCAAACTATGGAATTCAAAGCCGAGCACGAAATTAATACTCTATTTACTTATGCTAGATATTTGATTTGTTTGAAGTGAAACATAAAACTGTTATTGATTTTGGAGACTTGGTCAACGCACTCGATGCCTCCCAGCCAAGTGCTTCACGGGAGTATATATTAAAGTGTAAGTTGAAACGCTTCTTTTACAGGGATGATTCCTAACCTGGGTTCTATTTAAATTAAAAGTATCTACTGATCTGATGGTTCTATTTAATCAATTAATTCTGAACTGGGTTTTGAAGTAAAGATTGGGCTTTTCAATATGCTTAGATATTGAACCCAACTTGGCTGGGAATGTATTGGCCTATTGGGTACGCTCATGATGATGTAACTACTTAATGGGAGGGCTGAAAGACCTAGACCTAGACCAATTTCCACTTATTACTCAAATTTGGTTTCTTTTAATCTATTAAAAGCTTTCCACAAAGAGTAAAAAATCAGATCTTTGCGCCTAAATTGATTTACATCAATAGCTTATTTTAAATTACAACATATGGAACATCTTCACTTTTTTGTAAGATTGCATTGCCTAACAGAGAGCAAACTAACTGGAGGGGATAGTAGGACAGGGAGTTCTGTATCAATTTTTTGAGTAACGGGTCGAATTTTTTCTTTCTTTGGTGTGGGATTGGCAGAGGGATGGGTTTGACATGGGAGAAGTGTAGTTGTATAGATAACTTTTACACTTGTGCTAATGGGTGATGGCATAATTAATGATTCAAAATTCAAATTTGAAAGCCTTTGAGCCATGTGATGTCAAATACATGGATGGTATGTATATGTTTTGGGTTAAGCTCGTGCCATGAAATTCTCAAGGGAAAACATGAATTACAAAGGACACTAACCTCCCAAGAAGAGTAGTTGGATTGCGTTTTTCCATTTTAATAGGTTAATTACCACTCCATTTTGGCATGAGATTTAATTTCCTCTATTCTATTGCCTAATAGAGAGCAAACTAACTGGAGGGGATAGTAGGACAGGGAGTTCTGTATCAATTTTTTGAGTAACGGGTCGAATTTTTTCTTTCTTTGGTGTGGGATTGGCAGAGGGATGGGTTTGACATGGGAGAAGTGTAGTTGTATAGATAACTTTTACACTTGTACTGATGGGTGATGGCATAATTAATGATTCAAAATTCAAATTTGAAAGCCTTTGAGCCATGTGATGTCAAATACATGGATGGTATGTATATGTTTTGGGTTAAGCTCGTGCCATGAAATTCTCAAGGGAAAACATGAATTACAAAGGACACTAACCTCCCAAGAAGAGTAGTTGGATTGCGTTTTTCCATTTTAATAGGTTAATTACCACTCCATTTTGGCATGAGACTTAATTTCCTCTATTCTATTTCTGGGTTCTGTTTGATAAAGATAGAAATTTTCTAGATTCGCTCTCTGTTCAAATCAATGGAATTGGGTATCCTTTGCTTCAATCATTTGTAATATGCAAGTTGAAGAATGATATAGTTTGAATCCATTTTGATCAAGTAATTCACTCCTTTAAGATTGTAGGTAGCTTGCTTTTTGAATTGTTTGGCTAAATATGCATAATTATCTTTGTTGAATATCTAGAGCGACCCCCATTGGAGGTCTGTTGAACTTTTTCTTAAGCTCTTTTAACTTTTAGGGTGCAGGAAAAGTTTGAGCCATTTGCGTTGTGAATCCCTTACATATGAACACTGGAGCGAAGGATATCAAGTCATATATATTAGCATAAAGAATAACGAAACAACGTGATCTATTGTAAAAGAGAAGAATCAATTTGGAATTGCTATCATTAAGAGATACAATTATGAGATTTACATGTCAACTTTGTTATGAGTAATTTTGTTAGTATATCAATGTTTGGATTTTGGAACCTATTTTTGCATAAAGGTTACCTTTTTGCTAGTTTAGTGTTATGATTTAGTGACAGTGGTATGTTTGATTATATAGTACCAGCTGGAAAAGATGATGAATGTCGAGGAAAAGAAGTTCTGAGTGAAGGGATTGCCAGACCTTTCCTTATAGAAGAACATAAGAATGTGAAGAAAAATTGAAGATTCGAAAGACACAGCCTTCACGTGCTAAATGAAAATTTATATATATCTCTTGGTATCCCCTTCATGCCGGCCAAAGTTGTGCAAGATGGCTTTGATTTTGTTCTCAGAGATCGAATATTTTCCTTTGGTTTGCTACTTATTTGTTTAATGCTCCTCATGTCAGTTTGAATGAATCAATCTTGTATTTTGTTTCAGGGCCTCTTTTTGTGTGTTGTTGGGTCTTGTGATGTTTTGTGTTCATTGTGACTATTATGCTCAATAAGTAGTTAAAGATCCAAGGAAGGTAACAAAAAAATTAGACGTAGAAGGGTTGATCGGGACATAGACTTGCAAGCAGACTTCTATTTGAGAATTTACTAAGTTGAGAAGAGCGAATAGGTTTGGTTAGAAAAGAATAATGTTTTAAATTTAAGATTTATTACATATTTAAATTGCTATGATTATCCATGTTGTTCCTCTTATTCTCAAAGTAGAATTGGGAAAGTTCATTGACTAGTACAATAAGTATTTTTAGATTGGAATCCACGGAGGGATAGGATCACTCTAGCCATTTTTGGTGTCACACTCGGGTTACTCCTCATACTCCATACTGGAACACTTTAGGAAGGGCACCGAATATTGTCCTCTTGATGGCCTAAAAAAAATCGGCAAGGTATATGAGTATCTATGTATTCGGTTCTGTAATCTTGTAGATGAAAGATTAAACTCCTTACATGAGTTTTTACATTGACTATAAATATAAATTATAATGTGTAGGCTTGCGAGTGTGTTATCGTTGGCACCATCGAACACATAATACAATCAGATGATTGGTATTACATTGCTTGCAAGCAATTCAACAAAAAGACTTCCTATGAGAAGGCAATACTTGGAACAAAAATAAAGGTTGAGTACGAAGGCAACAAACTCAAGCCCAAGGAACCAATGAATGATGTTCAAAAAAAAAAAAAACCATGGGAGGAACCTTCAGTTGTGATGTTTGCAAGATAAGTGGCAACAATAACTTTGCTCTGAGGAAATACATTTTTAAAAATTCTCCCAAAACATGGCTTCCAAAATCCAATTGGCAAGTTGTGTTAATTTCTTCATTTTCTATCAAAACATGGCTTGCAAAATCTGTGGGGAACCACTATTGATCCCTTAAACAAAAATCTAATTTGCAAGTTATGTTTAATTTTTAAAATTCTCATAAATCTAATTTGCAAGTTATAAAAAGTACACGTGTCACACCTACACACTCCCATTTCCCGCCCATAATGTAATACAAGATTTTTTAATCATTACTTATTATGCACAAATTAGAGATCAGTTTAAATAAATCAGGAAAGCTCTATTTCACCGAATCAGTGAGGGAAGCTTTATTTGACAAAATGAATGTATTTATAAGGTCAAATGATTTGAAAATGATTTTGACCGAATCATTAAATGATTACAAAAACGATTTGATCTAAATAAATTAGGAAAGTTTCAATTATTAAATGATTTGACCGAATGAGTTAGTGAAGTTCTTAGTGAGCGGACCAATGAATATCAAGGATTAATATAGTTGAAATTTACTAATTTGATTACTCTTTTATTTTTATTATTATTATGGAAGTTTTTATTTATTTATTTTTTTGATAAAAAAATGTGAATCCAATCTTATTGATCAACATCACAGTTTCTCCACTCTTTCAGAAGCTCCTATTACATGATCAGCTATATTTTGTTACAAAGATATCCCTATTCTACATGTTTACATCAAACCATTTATCAAGTATCATAACACCATAAACTCGGATAATAATTTCTACTCAATCTTTTAATCTCTCACTGATTGCATGACCATCATAAAAATGAAATAAGAGCCACACACTCTCAATCCTCATAAAAAATAATGACTACTATTTAAACCCAACCCTCCAATATGCACCCGTGTACACTCTCTATCTGCTCATTTTTTACTTAATATAGGTTAGAAAAAAAAACAAAAAAACATAGAAACCAAGCCAAATTGATACGCTACATAATAGTAAAAATATTTGTGTGTTTCACAATGCACAATGACCCCAGTAATCATCGCTACCAAAAAGTTCATCAGAATCAACAATTATGTAAAAATTTACCCGAGCAACCTAATATCTTTAAGATAAATTATTCAAAATGAACCGCCCAAAAATAATTAATATTGTTACTATTATTGAAGGAATTACTTTACTTATTATACAATAAATATAAAATCATACCACAAAACAAACAGATAACTATAATCTTTTCTTCTCACATTATTAGTGTGATCTGCATTATTACATTTCATTAAACAATCTTTATTCTCCCATTAATTTTATAATCCGCAATAAATAGTCTTTATTCTCCCATTGATTTTGTGATCTAATGAAACATCTTTTATTCTCTCATTGATTGCGTGATCTGGATTAAATAAATTTCATATATCACGTTATTATTACTACAATCACATAGCACATAAAACTCATCCTTTCAACTCAAATTTCATCCCTAACTCTATACTTTAAGCATATAAAATTCCAACCACCAATTATTTTTCCATTCCATACATCTCAAATAATCAAAGTAAGAAACAATGGGAACTAACAAGTTTTCAAAGGCACGTATGAGACAAAAAGAAAAACTTAACACCAAGAGATGTAGAGAAAAAAAGGTTTGCCTAAGGACAACCAGGGGCCGAATAACTGTTCCTCAACAATCCATGGGAGGCTTCCCGATTAAACCAACTGCTTCCAAGGCAAACTTAACACAAAATGCTTTTTGATCACCATTAACAAGTATGGATGAAGATCGTTATAGATTTGATAGATGTTCTGCCAAGAGAACCCGTTCCAGTGATATCACAAACGGTCAAACACTAACGCCTTCGATTGTTAATTCTGATTGATCTCAAATTTTCATTGTTAAATTACTTCAAAATCTTTACGATGTTGAGCATTTTCATTAATTTATTTTACTAAATAAACTAAAAGTAAGTTACCCGCCGCACGGGAATGATTTACTTATTTGTATCGTTATCTTATGTGTGTAGTCACCATAATTTTCTGATTTTTAGCATGCTAGAAAAAAAATCTATACACACTTTTCCACGCGCCTATATGGGCGAATTCACCTTCTTGTGTGCGCGACTTCTTCTTTTTCTTTCTCGATTTATAACCCTAATATGCATTAGCCATGGTGGGCAGAAAAAAGAAAGGAAAATCAGTGATTCAAAATGCAAGGAGTGGAATTCAATAGGTGGATAGTCAGATCTCAGGAAAAGTTTCAGGAATTATTGGGGAAGGGAGTAATAAGGTGTCGAGGAAGCAAATTAGGGCTCAACAAGAACAAGAGTTGAATCTGTTGGTGTCTGAAATTGAATGGACGTTCGGCAAGGATGGCGGAGGTAGCTTCACAACACCAGATGAAGTAAGGATTGCAGTGGATGATGACAGATCTGGTCACTTATCTCAGGGGTGTCGATCTGGGAAAATTGTAGATGAACTTGAACCAAGAGGCTATGACCATCATACTAGGAGGCAACTTAGTTAGTCAGAGAAAGCTGGAATTGAGGCAGGGAGTAAGGCGTGGAGTAAGTTTGATCCTGACAGTCTTAAAGGACCATCATGTTAACTCCACCACACAAGCCCGTATCAAAGGGAAGGGCAGAAGGCAACAAAAGTAATAAAGGAGGATGTGATGACAAAAGAAAAACATTGGGAAACGGCTGTGTTATGTTTTGTTCTGGGTGCAAATCCACCTCGATGGGTGATGGAGGAGCACTTCTAGAAGATCTGGGGAAGGCTTGGAATTGACCAGGTAATTCAATTGCTTAATGGACTTTTTGTTATTCGTTTTAAGTCTGTAAGTGCTAAAGAGGAAGTGTTAACAGTGAATATTCGCCATTTCGGTAACAGGCCATTAATTGTTAAGTCCTGGTCAGTAGAGAAAGGTCTGAATTATAAGGAGATTGATAAAGTACCTTTTTGGATACAATTACATGGGTTAGAGCTAAAATTTTGGAACTTGAATGCATTGGGTAGACTGGCGAGTACTATAGGTTGCCCAATTCTAGCTGATGAATTTACTGTTAACAAGTCTCGTGTACAATATACGAGATTATTAGTAGAGATGGAGATTGGGGATAATGTACCGGACAGAATAGTGTTTGAGGATGAACTTGGAAATATTCAAGTTCAAAAGGTGGTTTATGAGTGGATTCCTACGCAGTGTGGGAACTGCATGGGATATGAGCAAAAAATGAGCATTGTAGGGTGGGAAAGAATAATGTTAAACCTAAGCCAAAAGAAGAACAATCTGCATGGAAGATAGCTAAGAAGGGTAAAGAGGTTGCACTGGAACCTGAGGTGTCTAAGATGGTTAAAGCTACTCGGGATGGTGCTGCTGGTGGTCCTAGTACAGAGGATACCAAAAAAGAATCAAGACCTAGTAACTATCAAAAGACATCACAGGTCAGTAGAGCTAAGGCACTGGGGAATGGTACTAGGGCTGGGGTTGATCTTAACGTCAAAGATACTCGGGAAGTAGTTCATAGGCTGGCTCACTCTGAGATGCCTAATAAAAATGCTGAGAAAGTTGATGTTGAGAAGGGACCTAGTTCCTTAGACGGGTTTGATAAGAGTATGATTGGTGATCCTGGACCTAACACTAATGTGTAATATCTTAGTGTGGAATGTAAGGGGGTTAAACTCTCCCCTTAAATAAATAGAGTTGCAAAGAATGATACAGCAAGGTAATTACAATATTGTAGGTTTGTTGGAAACTAAAATGATAAGGTCTCGGGAGGAGGAATGCTTAAGTAAGAATTAACAAGGAAAACAGTGGTGTTCAAATTATGATTCTAATAACAGAGGTAGAATCCTCATTTTATGGGACGATGGAGTAGAAGTTGTGAAAATGAAGGAATCTGCTCATTTTATACATTTTCAATGTAAGGAAAAGAAAAGGAAGGGAAGCTATTTTACTTGACATGTATATATGTTGCTAATGAAAGTTCTGATAGGTCAAGATTATGGGATGATATGGTTAATTTAGCTCAAACAATGCATGGACCATGGGTTTGGATGGGTGACTTTAATACTATCTTGAAACCAGAAGAAAAGTTAGGAGGTAGACCAATTGAGCTTAAGGATTTCGAAGAATTCTAATATTGTCTGGAAAGTTGTGGAGTTGGAGACTTAAGGCAAAAAGGCAAAGTTTTTACGTGGTGTAATCAACGTTTTGGGTTTGATAGAGTGTACTCAAAGTTAGACAGAGTAGTAGTCAACGGGCAGTGGATTGATCAATTTCCTGAGTTGATTGCTACTTTTCTGCCAGAACATATCTCAGACCACTCGCCAATGATATTGCAACTAGAAGGGGAGACAAGGCGAAAACCTAGCCCTTTTCGCTTCTTTAATATGTGGAGTCGGTCACCTCAGTTCAAGACCATAGTGAAGGAGGTGTGGGATGGTGTTGTGACAAGTACCAAAATGTTTCAGAGGTGTACTAAACTGAGACTATTGAAAGCTCCTCTTAGAAGGTTGAATCATAGGAACTTTGGGGATGTAGTTAAAAAGGCAAACAGACTGCAGTTGGAACTGACGAGCTTGCAAGACCAACTCAGTCTGGATCCCTGCAATGTGATGTTACAGGATGAGGAAAGGTTGTTATATGAAGAATACATGGAGGCTAACAAAGTAGCAACCAGTTTCCTGAAACAGAAAGCTAAAGCAGTGTGGATTGCAGAAGGTGATGAGAATAAAAAATATTTCCATACTGCTTTAAAAGTCAGGCATATGAAGAATCGTATTTGGCATGTAACGGAACCAGATGGAACAGAGATCAGTGATTGGGAAGCAATTGACAATCACTTTGTAAAGTTCTATCAGGATCTGTTAGGGAAGAGAACTGGAAGGAAAAGATCGAAGCGTGAGATATTTGCATCTGGTCCCATTCTGAATAGTGATCACCATCTGAGGTTGATTCCACCAGTGAGTAAACAGGAAATCAAGAATGCCTTCTGGGAAATGAATTCTGATAAAAGTCTAGGACCGGATGGATTTAGCGTTGGTTTCTATAAAGTAGTGTGGGAGATAGTGGGACAAGATGTGATGGATTTTGTTTTGGAGTTCTTCAATTTAGGTCAGCTTCTTAAACAAATTAACTCTACGACTTTAACATTGATTCCTAAGATAGAGTCCCTGTTGAATGCTAGTCAATATAGGCCTATTGCATGCTATAATGTCTTATGTAAATGTGTCTCGAAGATACTTTGTAATAGGCTGAAAGTTGTATTACCTTTGTTAGTTGATGAATATCAAAGTGCCTTTATCAAGAATAGATTACTTATGCACAATGTTCTTATAACTCAAGAACTCATTAGATTACTAGGTTGATGCCTGGAGTTGATGTGGAAACTAATTTATGAGAATTAAGTTATAGGATTTTATCATCTCAACAAATTAAATTCTAAGTAGAGATTTTAGAACCAAATGAATGAATGATTAATCATAAATAGATACTAAATTATCAATTTTGATATTGTATCAGAAGTGTTACATGGAAACTTTTGTAAGCCTGAACATATAGTATAACGTGTATCTCTAAATTACCAAATGAATTAACTTATTTGTACTTCACAATTACGTATTCTGATGATTGTTCCATTTCCTTTCCGGTAAGCATGTTTGGGTTGTTCACCAACGATTCAAAGTTGAGAAGCCTTCTTATCTGCGCGCATCCTAAAGGAGTGTTAACTACAATTTGCATATTTTGATAGCCATCAGAAAAAACTTTGAAAGATTTGCAAATGCGCCAAAGTTGAAGCTAATTTCAATCCTTGTAGAACTCTCCATGATTCGGCTTCTAACCGGGATAAGTTTCCTTTTTTTAAAGTAAGGAGTACCTCAGTTTCCAGGTAATGGAACATTCTGCAAGCTTGTCTCTCCAAATCACCTTGAGTGCATACCTTTCTTCTGATGAATTTCGAAAAACAAATGACCTGTATTGCTTTCCTTCAATTCCACAGTTGGAATAGGGTGACTGAAGCATTCGACATGCCACAAAAAAATGCAAAAACATCAAGGTAAACAACGATTCGAATTCATATGCCTGACATTTTACCTTGATACTGATATTGGAGACAAAAGAATCAAATTTGGTGGAAAACCCTACAAAGGCTCCATATTAATGATCTGTGGTGTCAAAGCAATATGGTACAACAATAGTTTCTTATAAGACATCATCAGTGCAGAAATGTCACATTTTATGAATTATGCAACACTCAGAGAAACCAGGACAACTGATCCTTCAATTGAATCAACTAAAGTTTTCTTTTGAACGTGGAATCAAACAGTAAACATTCATCTTAAAGACCACATAGATGCTAACCGAATCGAATCAATTCAAATCCCAACCGAAGCCAATCGATTAGATTGCAAATTGATCTACTAAACATCTTAGGACCAAAATAACAAATACCTCTCATGCAAGCTCAATTCCACTCTGAGATTTTGGAATTGCTTCTTAAGTAGCAAAGTAATAAGGTGTGCAGAGGTACTTTGGGCAGAAGATACAAACGGCAAGGATTTTGCCTACTCTATTCACTTCCAGACGTTTTGAATCTAGGTACGCTGTGTGGGGAAACTTACCAAGCTATTCATCAAATTCTAATGGAGGCACTCTTGTAGATTTAAAGAAGAAAAATTATTGGCACATACCGAAGGTACACAAGAACTTGGTAGAGTTTGGGAGAGATATGAACCTGGATTTGGAGAGCAAGGGGAGATCACACGTCAGCAGCACCAGAATCCACCTTCTTGCATTTCCTTGTGTAAACAAGTCCCCATTTGCTTTCGACATTATTTTTCGCAGCCACAGCCCCAAGGAAAACATTCTCTGATATTGACTCTACTACCCTATAGTCAACATCCATGTCCATTATATTCTGCTCAAGAACCGCATGGTTTATTTGTCGCACGCGGGCTCCTTGCGTTTGGTTCATCAGCCACACTATCCTTAGAATTGAAAAGTTGCAGTGAGCCGCCCAAAGTTGTACATTAGCTTCCGTAGCATGAAATAATCATAAGAGAAATTTTCAGATTCCCAATTACAGCCACCATCCCACTAAAATTCTTTCTTTCAACAGTTTTGGGAAAATATTTATATAGGCCTAATATCAAACACTTAACATGCAACTAAAATACCTAGTACTTCCTTAAACTCTACCCTAGAAATCTGGAGCAACGGCTGTGGAAATCATCAACAAAAGGAACCGGAACTACAAGAGAGGAAAATCCTTCAATTTTATTGGTTAAATTTAACAATTCTGGCTCCGATGGCCACAAGAAATTACGGCAAGAAAGAATTTTAATCGAGCACATAAACTTTACACGGATATATATTCTTCTTAGCCATAAACTTTGATTCCTTCCATTTCCCAAATACCGAATTCAAATTGCCACAACCTTATAGTAGTAAATTAACCTATCAAAATCCTACAAACATGGGCAACGAGAAAACTAAATCAAATCGATTGCTTTTGCTGGAGGTAGAAATTATCCCCGTCATCCCTTCTGGGCACTTTTCGAGCCTGGTTCTATGTATCTTGTGTTTCCATGGTCATCGCCAGCCATGAGGAGATCAAAGCTATCTTTTCTCTGTTGCTTGGATGACGATGCAAGGAATTAAGATGGTTGAGTGACTGAGGGTGGAACTGGAAAGAAGAGAATTGACGGGGAGGAACAATATCTCTGATTAGATGTTGCGTTGGATAATTTGGCCGCTGGACACATGTGAGATATTTGACCGGGTAATGTACCTAAACAGGCTCACGTTCCCGGATGTAGCTTTTATATATGGTAATGATATGGTAGAAAAGGGAGAAGTAGTATACTGTTTATGAAAATAGACTTAAAAAAAGGCCTATGACTCGATTGAATGGAGATTTCTTGAGGAAATGATATTAGGTCTAGGGTTTCCGGAACAGTTTAGAATGTGGATTATGCAATGTATTTCTACTCCTTCTTATACTTTGGCACTAAATGGATGTTTTGTTGGGTATTTTGCTGGGAAAATGGGATTGCGTCAGGGGGATCCTATTTCCCCGTTATTGTTTGTTCTTGTCATGGAATACCTGACGAGAAGTTTGAAGAGTATAGCTGACAGTAAGTTGAAATTTCATCCTCTATGTAAACATTTGAAGTTGGCAAATATTTGTTTTGCGGATGACTAAATGATTTTCTGCAAGGCAGATAAAGCAACTGTTAGTAATATTATGACGGTGTTTGCTGACTTTTCTGAAGCAACTGGGCTTGTAGCGAATTTGCAGAAATATGAGATTTATTTTGGGGGGTGTTGATGTGAAGGATCAGGAGGAATTTTGTAAAATTACGGGGTTCTCTAAGGGTACTTTCTAGATGAAATACCTCGGAGTTGCCTTATCTCCAAAAAAATGGTCACAAGTGGAATGTCAATATATTGTTAATAGAATAGTGGCTAAAATTCGTTGTTGGAGCACCCGACATTTAGCATATGGCGGGAGATTAACCCTAGTAAATCCAGTTTTGATGTCACTTCATACTTATTGGGGTTCAATGTTTATTCTGCCCCAAAAGGTAACTGATCGGGTAAATAGAGTTTGTAGGGGGTTCTTATGGGGAGGGAACATTGAGGTAAGGCTCTGGCTTTAGTTAACTGGAATGAATTTTGCAGGCCGAAATGTGAGAGTGGTCTGGGGATTAGAGATGCTAAAATCTGGAATAGAGCTACAGTGGTGAAACAAATTTGGCAGCTGATACAGAACAAGGAAGCTTTATGGGTTCAGTGGTTTCATGGAGTCTACATTAAACAAACCTACTTCTGGACTGTTGAGGCCAAACAGGATGCAAGCTGGCCATGGAAGCAGATGCTGAAACTGCGAGATCAGGTTAAAGATGCTTTTGATGGCAACAGATGGAGATACAGATAGGATGGGAAATTCACAGTAGCTGCAGGGTACAAATGGATGATGGGAGGAGGCAACCAACTTCCAGAAGCTAAGTGTATCTGGGCGAAGACCAACATACCAAAGCATGCTTTTATAGCATGGTTGGTTGGGAAGAGCAGAATTCTCACTAAGGATAGGCTCTTGAAATTGAACATGCATGTAGAGGATAATCATTGTTAGTTGTGTAAGAGGGAACTTGAGACTGTTGAGTATCTATTTTTCCTCTGTAATTATTCTTTGGAGGTGATCAGTTTGATGAAGGAATGATTAAAATGCAGGAAAATAAACCCTAGAATGCAGAGATGGAAAATCCAGTTGACTAGCATGTGGAAGAGCCAAAAAAATGACAAGAAGAATCCTTCTGGCTGCTTTTACAAGCTGTATTTATCATCTATGCCATGAAAGAAACAAAAGACAATTTGAAGACCTGAAAAGGGAGCCTGTTGAACTACTCAGAATGATCCAAGTAGAGCTGAAAATGAGAATAGGACACCAGAGGCAGAATAGATGTTCTGTTGCTGAAAATAGGGTTATACAACAATATTTTAATGATATTTAGATTGTGATAGCTGTTAGTGGTTTCAGAAAAGTTGGTTTTGTAAAGTGGTACTTAATGGCTTCATCAATTTTGTAACTGTCAGTAGGGATGGATCATTATGTAAATTGGTTTCACTGTTTGGTGATTTGTATAAAATATTTACCTTGTCACCCCAAAAAAAAAGAAAGAAAAAGAAACTCTTACCGTTAGTGATTGGAAAATTCTTAACAAACGGTCCCAATATATAGGAATTTCTTTTTTGCTAAACTTTCAAGTTATGAACACCTCTTATTTTGGCATAACAAAGTAATATATGTCCTATTGATTTATAAAGCTATAGTTCTTTGATTAAAAAAATAAATATCAATCTGCAAATTACTTACGCTAATGGTCAACATGAGATTGCAAGCTGGAGCTTGGCCAATGTAGAAGATATTAGGAATTTCTCACAGTGGTTACTCAATGTTGGCGAAGGTAGGAGTTCCACGCCAAATGATGGAGAAGCTGACATTGACATACCAGCAGACCTACTCATACATCAACTAGTTGATCCCATTGCAGTGATGGTTAAAAGCACTTATCCAAACATTAAAGAGAATCTTTATTTTCCAGGTTACCTATAACAAAGAGCTATACTGGGACCGACTCACTATTTGGTTGATTCTATGAACGAATTCACCATATCAAGGTTGGACGGAGAAAAAATCGTTTATTTGAGCTCAGACAGCATTTGGCACTTGGAGAATGTCCCTGATCAAAATGAGAACACCTATACTACAGACTCTGTGGACATATTAAAGCGTCCGCTATGCCAAATCTTAGGTTGGCACTCAAAGTTAGTGTTCCAGTTATGTTGCTAAGAAACGTTGATCAACCGGCTGGACTGTATAAGGATCAAGCTACAGGTTAGGAGATCAGTTTGTTATTGGGTCTACAATCATATCAGGATCATATGTTGAAATATAGTTTTTATTCCACGAATGGTAATTACTCCGCCTAACATGAGCTCCCTTGCAAGATGAGAAAAAAAAAAGTTTCTATTGTCCGTCTGTTTTGCCACGACGATCAATAAGAGTCAATGCCAATCAAATTTGCAAGTTAATATTCTTTCGCTTCGACCAGTTTTCAGTCATGACCAACTCTATGTTTCTTTTTAAAAAGTCACATCCAAGAGAGGTTTAAATGTTTTTGTAGTTTACAAAGAGGGTAACAGGAACACCCACACAACTAATGCGGTCATTTAAGAAGCACTTAGATACTTTTAATTAATTTACTTGCTATTTGCCTTGACAATGTTGGTCAATATTAATAAAAATGAAATCCTTATAACTTTTTGATTTTATGATTTTTATGATTGTAACTTTATGCATGCATTAATATTTTATTTTCATTAATTCTTTTTATTGCAACCTTTTCAAAAAAAAAAAAAAAATTCTTTTTATTGCAACAGAGTATAAATTATGGTTGCAAATTCCATTCGTACTTGGCACAGGTTGTGTATTTAGTATTCAAATAACACAAAATAGGTTTCAAGAGTCTAAGTCCTTGTTCGGGCAACGTTTTGTTTTAGTTTTTTATTTGGATTTAGGAGGAGATTTGAAATATAGTTTAGTGACAATTTTTAAAAAGTATTATATTATAGTGACCATTTTTGAAAGTGGGATAGTAAAGTGACAAAACTTAAAATTTTACAATAGTTTAGTACCCAAATTTAAAATTTTACAATAGTTTAGTAACCATCGGCACTAAAATTTACAATAGTTTAGTGACAAAACTTAAAACTTTACAATAGTTTAATGCCGATGGTCACTAAACTTTACGATAGTTTAAAAGTTAAGTTAAATTGATATTTAGATAATATATTGAGTTTTGTGTTTAAGAGATAAAATGAGACAAAAAATAAAATGAAACAACAAACAAACAAGCCCAACTGTCCAAACAGGTCAAAATTGATTGGAGTATCGATGTAGAAATCATTCCCAATTTTTTATTTTATTTTTTTATGCATCCGTCTCATTATTTTCGATTTTCAACTTTCTTTTCCCGCTCACTAACCTTTTCCTTTTCTCTCTCCACCATTTTACACACACTAACGTCTCCATTTCTTCCATTCAAATTCCTCCTCTCTCTCTCTCTCTCTCTCTCTCTCTCCTCAGTCCTCACTCTTCCACACAAATTCCTTAAAGATTAACGGTAACAAACAAATCGAAACAAAACGGAAGTAAAAGGGAGGAAACCCTAGCTTACTGCTGTTGGAATTGTGAAGATGAATCAGTATCACATCTACGAAGCCATTGGCCGCGGCAAATACTCGGTAAAGTTTCTGCTTCTCGATTTTTCGTGTTCAGTTTTTATTAATTTTGGAGGGTATTGCTCGGATGAGAAACTCTGTTTGGCTTGTTGCTTAATTTTTTTTTTAATTTTTTTTATTTTGGGATTTTACTTGGATTTTTTTTTTTTTTAGGGAATGGGGATTTAGGGTAATCTTTTGGAGTTTGTTTAAATTTCTCCGATGTGTGGGTGGTGCGGGATCTGCACTGTGTTGATAAGCTCGGAAATGAATGTTAATGTTAGTTGTTGTGTATACTCTGAGCTGTGTTCTGATGGAAAAGTGTTATACCGTGCAGACTGTATATAAAGGAAGAAAGAAGAAGACAATCCAGTATTTTGCTATCAAGAGTGTGGATAAAACTCAGAAGAACAAGGTTCTTCAAGAAGTAAGCCAATTACTTCTCAACTTTACTTAATCTCGTATCTAGCTTTTATTTTTCACCTGCTTCATGGGTAGACCGCCGAAACCGAAATTGATGTTTTGGGAAATAAGTGATGCTTAGTGAACCATATTAGGCGATAACTAATTGTAATTTAAAGTGATGGAAATCTGAAAAGGCAGATTATAGCCATGGAATTATCGAAATAAATGTGAAATATAACATACTGTAAGAGGTTTTCTTTGACATGATGGTTAGGACAATAAATGGGTCCATTTTTCTGCAATTTGTATTGAAATTGCCTAATACATTGACTTGGCCTGGGTATTGGACTTCCAATCTTGTAGATGCTGAACAATTGAATAGCAGATTTGAATATGTCATTATGTTGATTCCAGATATTCCATGTTCTAGAGCTCTGTCATACTTGTTTGCTAATTTAGGGTAAATTCTAGCAGCCTATGAGAGTGTTGAGCACTGAAGTTACTCATATAAATGTTGCCTCATATTCTCATCAACCGTACTTTAGCTTTGTTCTTATGGTGATTTATGGAGGGAACTCAAGAGGTTCATTTGATTTCCACGTTACTATGAAATGATAGACGATTGCAAGTCACAATTTTTAAAGTATTGACTCTGCATAGTTATCAAAACTACATATGCATTTACTGTTTATTTCTAAATATTGTAATTTTGCAGACTCAGTATGTTGATTAGTGGAAGATTGGTGATAGTTTCTGGTTATTCAGTGATGGACTTTTGAGCAGATGCATTTTTTGTCTATAGTTTTTGGTTTTATTAATGTGATCCTTGGCAAGGATGGATGAGTTTTTTTAATGCATTGGCACTAAACTTGGGATAAAAGCTACTACTTTTTATCTTTTAATCCTCTTTGTAATTAAGTTAAATTGGGACTTTGCTTGGTATTATGGTATCTTTTCATTAAACTTATCATAATGACATTGACATAACTGTTTCATTGGAAAGCATATAAGTGAACATTAACATGCTGATATACCTAAATGTTCATTCCTCTTGTGCTGTAAAGAAATTATGAAGTTCTTGTTTGCAGGTTAGAATTCTCCACTCTTTAGATCACCCTAATGTTTTGAGGTTTTACTCCTGGTAAGAATTTCGAGTTTTTTAGTCATCATAGATAGTTTTCTGAATGTTATATGGCAAGTTATTTCTTATCGATATACTCAGGACATGAAGTGAGGAATCATCTAACCTCTTTTTCCTATCTTCACTTGGAAATTCAGGTATGAAACATCGGCTCATTTGTGGCTTGTGTTAGAATATTGTGTCGGAGGAGATCTGATGAACCTGTTGCTTCAGGTAGGCATCTTTTTCAAATTTCTGAATTACGTTTCCCAATTTTCTTGGAGTTGTATAGGGTTAGTTCCGCATTATGTGTATTTTGGTTGGGATTTTCTATCTCACTTTTGAAAAATCTTTCTAAAGTCAGTTGGAGCATCACAAGAACTTCTTTTATCACAGCTGAAAATATTTACCGAGTCTGTGAAAGAATCTCATAAACAATGCAGCATTTTTCACATGTGATAAAATTTTCTGAAGTCAGTGGAAGCATCTCATATTGGAAACTTGTTGATGAGATTATTTGTTGTTCTGTGTACTGATGATTCTGTTTAACTATCCCAAGTTATACATCCCAGTCTATCCAACTCACTCAAAAATTTATTTAAATTGGTTTACATGGCTACAATCAGAGATTTGTTACAGCCCTTCTCGTGATTCAATTAGTTCCCATTAACTAGTTCTTTTTTTTTTTTTTTTTTCCTCTAAATAAATTCTTTTCCTTTATTTTTGGTTGCAATTCTTTGTACTCCAAGTCCAATTTTTATACACATACACACAGACCATTACTGTATGAAATGCAAGATATTGAATGTCGGAGCTCAGCCTTTTATTTAAGCTTTATCAAACATGAACTTTAATGTTGATTCTGAAATTTGTGTTGCAGGATACTAAAGTACCGGAAGATTCAGTTCACGATATGGCTGTTGGGCTCGTTACAGCTTTACAGTTAGTAACTATTGTTATTCATCACTCTTAAATAATTACATGAAATCCATCTTAGATAATCATAATTTATGGAATTGTCTTTCATCAGGTTCTTACATTCAAAGGGGATAATCTATTGTGACTTAAAGCCATCAAATGTGTTGTTAGATGAAAATGGATGTACAAAGGTATGTAATTGACCTAGCTAAAACTATTTTTATTTTTATTTTTTTTATTTTTTATTGATCCTTGATGGAATTCTTCAATTTGTGCTTTGGATTGCAGCTATGTGACTTTGGATTGGCGAGGAAATTGAGTGATATATCTAAAACACCTTTTTCTCAGGTAGGTCTTATTCTCGTCCTCTTATCTTCTCCTCCCCTTCTTTTGAAAACTTCTGAAAATTGTGAAGTATGAACATCTGTACAACCTCTCATGTCAGTAGAGTTTCCTTTCTCATTTTTGCTTTAGTCCTCTCCAATGTGACCCCTTATAAGTCTAACCGTTAACGTGTTGTTTTCCTGTCTTGACTATGTTCAGTTACCACAAGCAAAGCGTGGGACTCCATGTTACATGGCTCCTGAGTTATTTCAGGATGGAGGAGTTCATTCTTTTGCATCGGATCTCTGGGCTCTGGGTTGTGTACTTTTTGAGTGTTATGCTGGAAGGCCGCCATTTGTTGGAAAAGAACTTACACAACTGATTCAATCAATTCTTTCTGATCCAACTCCAACACTCCCGGGATCCCCAAGCCGTCCTTTTGTTAACCTGATCAATTCTCTCTTGATTAAAGATCCTGCTGAAAGAATCCAGTGGGCAGAGCTCTGTAATCATGCCTTTTGGAAGTCAAAGTTTGATCTGTTGCCTCTACCTTCTCAGCCTGCTTTTATGAATATGATTGAGCTTTCATCTAAGACATGTCTATCAGAGCGCAACAGTGACAGGCCGTACAAGACCCCAAACAAATTCGAAAAAGATTCTATCTCAAAAGGAACCATTAAGGAGAATGAAAGTTCCGAGATCAGGAAACCTGAAACACCGGTAAAAGGAGCATTTAGCACTCGAAAAACACAAACAAAGGCTTCCAGCAAGGTAGCTGATGACAGACGCAAGGACATTCCAAATGCAAGAGGAGTCAATCTTCTGAGGCTTTCAAGGATTGCAAAAACAAATTTACAGAGGGAAAATGAAAAGGAAAACTACCGTCGGCCCCTGCCTAATGGTCAGGACAATGATGCTGAAGTTGAAATAAAAAATAATGACATGGAACTTGATTTTAATGAGAATCCAGAAGAGGAGGTTAACGATGATGCTGATGTATCAGAAAATGTAGGTTCTTCTGAACCAAATTTGTCAGCTCCAAATCAGGATTATGGGAAAACTGACTATATGGATAGCACCAGAAGTGACTCAGAGCTATCACCTGCAATTAGTACTCCTGTCTCGGATAACTTGAAAAACTCTGAGCAAGAAGAGCATGTTGTAACACCAATGCCACCAGATTCAAGTCCTCAACCAAAAACAGCAAGAGTGAAGGATACTCCCATGTCCCTTGATTCTTCTGACTGCTTGAAAACATCTACAAACATCTCAGAGGTGCTTTGGCATGCTTCTGACCTCTCTGTCAGACCAGTGATGCCTAGCAAAAAATCCGATAAAGGATTAGATGCCGTACCATTTATTCCATTTGATGCTCTTTCAGCTGCTGAATTTGTCAAATTGTCCAATGGGCAGCTGGATAGTATGAATAATAGGATCATTGGTATCATCAGTGGGAATACTGCAGTTGGTGAGAAGCAAAGTGTGGTAAAATACCTGGAAATGTTAAGCAGTAATGCAGATGCTGCTAACATTTTGACTAATGGACCAATTATGCTGGTCCTTGTCAAAGTGTTCAGACAATCAAAGACATCTGCTTTGCGAGCTCAACTTGCTTCACTGATGGGCTTGTTAATTCGACATTCTACTTTTATTGGAGATGATCTGGCGAATTCTGGGATTTTAGGTTCTCTAACAGATGGCCTGAGAGATAGGCAAGAAAAAGTTCGGAGGTTTTCCATGGCTGCTTTGGGAGAATTGCTTTTTTATATATCTACTCAGAATGAGCAACAAAAGGTGGGTAATCCACCAGAATCTCCATCTAAAGATAACCGCCCATCATCTGGCTGGCAGGTCAGTCACTTTCAAGACTTACATATTATACCCTGCTGCTTGCAACTTGTTTATCATTCTAGCTACCAAATATCTTTTTTATGTTTTTTATCCATAATTTGTTATTGCCTGCAAAAGGAGGATGACAGTTATTTCCCCCCTACAGGTCACAAATGCACTGATCTCCTTGATTTCATCTGTCTTGCGCAATGGGGAAGATGATATGACTCAACTTTATGCACTAAGGACAATAGAGAATATTACTAGTCAAGGAGGGTACTGGGCGACACGCTTCACCAGTCAAGATGTAATTAGTAACCTTTGTTTTATATATAGAGCCCCGGGAAAACCAGAAAGCATGAGACTCACAGCAGGTTCTTGTTTGGTGCGTCTAGCTCGTTTTAACCCTCCGTGCATCGCGCGCATTCTGGAGAAGATTTCATTCAAGGACATTGTGTCAGTCCTGATAAAAGGCAGCCCAAGGGAACAGCAAATTCGCTTAAACCTTCTGAACATGGCTATGATTGAAATCACAAACATCGGAAAGTACCTTCTTTCTTTGGGGGAAGACAAGAGTACTGTTCCGAATCTTGTTGCTCTGATTGAGCAGGGAAGTGAAATATTGAGGGGAAAGGCTCTTATTTTTGTGGCCTTGCTTTGCAAAAATGGAAGGAGGTGGCTGCCTCAATTCTTTTGCAATGCGAGACTTTTATCAAATGTGGATAGGTTGTTAAAGGAGAAGGACACCTTTGTTCAGCAGTGTCTGAATGTGTTTGCACATGTTGTGGCTTCAGTTGTGCCAAGTTTATTGGACACTGTTATCGCAGAGGTTCAGCAACTGTTGGGTGGGCGACGCCGTGGACAGTTTACTCCTACTAGAAATCCTCCAAAGAGCAACATTCATTTGTTCCCTGTGATTTTAAACCTTCTTGGAAGCTCTTTATTTAAGCATCGGGTGGTCAGTTCTCAAGTTCTACAGCAATTTGCGCATCTACTAAAGCTGGCTGAGTCACCTTTCCAGGTAAAGATCTTAAAAATAAGAGCTTTGTTTGTCATTTCTGGATCCTACTCATTGTCTGTGTCTGATCCAGCTGTGAAAGATCATTGTTTTAGGTTTCATATGAATTGGGTTTTGCCATTTATTTGTTGCTGATGTGTTAGGTAATATGTTCATCTTTGCAAGAGTTGTTTTCGGAGTTCATACACAGTGAAAGTTAGTTTAGCCAATATATTGCTGGAGTCTTTAAAGTGGAACCCTTATTTTCGGCTCCCTTTTTTTTGCTTGTCATATTATGCAATGTATTTGAAACATGGAACCCTTATTTGAAGCAAAATTTTTACAAGTGTTGTTTACATCCAACAGTGTTTTTGGAATGAGACTCAAAATATATAGCTGCTGACAATAGCTTAAAGTATCTAGGGGCCCATAGTAAAGGGAAATGGTTTAATTCACATTAAACAACTTTTCATCTGATGTTCTGCCTAAATATTGACTCAGCTCCAAAAGGTTCAAAATAAGTAGGTTATACATCTGATTTGATCTACTTTTTCTGGTAGCAGTGGGTTTGAACATCTTCAAGGTGAATCTTTATTTATACTAAACTTCTGTCTTCTGGAATGTCAGGGAAGGGATGAGTTCCAAATTACACTCCTAAAAGTGCTCGAGTGTATTGCAGAAGAACCTCCCATCATTGAACAAAGCTCTGAGGTTTTTACCCAGCAAATTCTTCCCAGTCTGGCCGTTCTATATAAGGGCAACAAGGATGGTGATGCTAGATTTTTGTGCTTAAAGATATTGTTTGATGCAATGGTCATATTTCTAAATGGAACCACACAGAATGAGAAAAGGGTTGAGGACTTAAAATCCATATCTAATTCTCATTTTCTCCCTCTCTACCCTTCTTTGGTTGAAGATGAAGATCCCATTCCTATGTATGCTCAAAAACTTCTTGTGATGCTTATTGAATACGACTACATTAAGATTTCAGACATACTTCACACCAAGACTGTCTCTCAGTGCTTTGAGTTTCTGCGCGGTGATTTCTCAACAGCAAATGTTAGCAATGTCATGCTTTGTTTTGCTCTAGCATCTGCCCCCGAACTGGAGACCAAGATACTTTCCCAACTGAGAGTTGTCAGGAAGATTGGGAACCTTCTGGAGTTTGTGTGCGCTAAGGACATGGAAGATTTCGTCGAACCTACTCTCAACCTTTGCAGGGCATTGCTTTTGCGTCCAGTTAGCGGTAGTAAAGGCTTCATTCAAGGAAAAGAAGTTAATCTACTTTATGATAATTCTTCAGAGGGACCTATTGCCTTTAATCAGCAAGAATGTATTAGAGATATAGCAGACTTTGGTGACAATGTTGGAGTCCTGCTAGAGCTAACCAAATCTCAGGAGAGGAACGTCTCAGACTTGGCTTCTGAATGTTTAATTTTGCTGTTCAAGACAGCCCCAAGGGAAGCTACTACAGGTTTTCTTACAAATCTCCCTAAGGTCTCTGCCATCTTAGATTCTTGGAACCAAGTCTTTCCTCAACATTTGGTGCAGCGAATCCTCCACGCTCTTGGTTATTCTTGTCGACAGTATCTGTCATACTCAATGATATTGTCATTGAGCATACCTGAGATACAGAAAATTGAAGCAATTGTTTGCGATATAAGAAAATCAGGTGCAGCTACTCTTGCAGATGCTGCATATCAAGTAGCAATAGAGTTGCAGAGGCTGCCTCGCCGCATCTGAGTTTGGTAATTAAGTCTCCAATATCTGCTGCATTTTCTAGTTCACTTGCATTTAAGTTCCAATAATCTCATATCTTTTTCTTTCTTTGCCAGAGTTGAACAGGAATTTGAGTTATGCTATGAGGAAAACATAACTTTCTCAAGGCTTACTGCAGTCTTCGAATTAACCAATTTCTCCACTTTCAACGGGAATCCAGGATCAGGTTTCAGTGTTGAAAAGGAGACTGGGAAGAACACAAAGAAAATTAAGTGTCCTGAGCTGCAACACCCGAGCAAGTAATAACCAACCTCTATATGTACGTATACTTCAACGACTTAAATGTACTAAGTTGACTATTCATTACTTGATTCCAGTTAAAAGTTTTTGCTACCTTTTTACTGTAAGTCGGCCAGCCTTCTATAATGTGTATAAAATTAAAATTGAAGGTGTTACTAGTAAAAGAAGTTATAATCTCCTCCTTCTGCTTCAAATTATTAATCTCCTCAGATTGGTTAGAAAAAAATTTACGATAGCTGATATCAGTCATCGTAACTGTGATGCTGTTTTTTAATTGCTTACCATTTGGTTGGAGAGCGTTGAGTTTAAAACACCATTTTATCGAGGAATTAGTAAGAAGTTGAAATAGAAACCCCAAGGATCCACATGGTTTTACTTTTTCATAAGTTTAAACTGGAACAATATTGTACTAGTAGTACTTGAATGAAGGCTTCATCCCAACGTATTTATTTTTTTCAAAAGCAATAATTATATTTAAATTAAAAGAAAATAAATCAATCATAAGGTTGTGCAGTACAATACATGATTGAGCCGTTGAGCTACAAAATCTGATGATTGAGTTATTGTGATCTGTCATACACGATTTCCCAACCCACAGAAGAACAAATAAGTCATCTGTGTGAACAGGGCGTTGAGAAGACTTTACTGATTAAATCGAAACAACATCTCTAACAACTAAAATTAGGAATGTCCAAACTAATCTATATCTATATATAAATAGATATATATATATATTATTATCTTATTACAGGAAAAATTTATTTATTTATTCATTCTATAGGAAAACCCAGTATGATCATAAATGCTGACGTGTCAAGCTTTCCTACCCTCAAATCCCGCTCAAAACACCGACAATTTACTAGAAGTAAAAATAAATTGTAAAATCTAATGACACAAACCTTAAGGAATCCCGGATTAATTTGGTTACAAATATCAAACCACAAACCCACGATGCCAGCCTGTCAATCCACGATGTCATCCCAGTTAAAATACTCGAACTTGAAAAATCAAAATACCTTTGGCCATCTAAGGCTGGCTTCTTCGCCGAGAAACAACGCGACGAAGTTTGCTTATTACGAAAGTCAAAAACTGAACAACCTCGAAGGCTTCTCTGTATAAATCCGGCAGAGTCAGCGCCAATACCACCAGCACAAACAAAGTTTCAACGGCATCGACAATTTATTGGAGCCGGTGCAGCGGAAGTTGAAAGTAGAGACACCGTCGAATATGTCAACACTAAGATTGAATGACATAGAAGATTATCTTCGGCATAACTTGGCTCATCACAAATTCAAAAACTGAAGATATACATCGGCGGCGGGGTTATAGGGAGGTGAACTTGGCTTCTTTGTCATCGGCATCAATTATTGAATCAGGTACTTATGATGTTTAAAGATTACAATCTATTGACTTTTTAAAATTAAAATCAGTAAAAATACGTGTTCCCAGAAATCAAAGTCTCCTAGACCACATAAGTTTTGTCTTTGCCGGAAAACAGCAGGAAAATCATTAGTTGGCCGATTACAAAAAATTCAAAAAACTAATAGCATTGGCAATATATAGCATGGGAGGGCAGCGACTGGGCTTCCACGCCAGCTAAAAGCATGATTGAATTAGTATCGTCGAAATGGTTTCGTGTCTATTCTTGCTTTTCTCTGCAGTTTTCATCCTCCTTTTGTTTTTTTTTTTTTCATGCACAATGCTTTAGACAATCATTCTTCGCAACAAGGGTGAGTTGTTCGCAGATGGGTTCCTATTCGACGGCTTCAGACTCTCAATTGTCCGGCTCCAAGCTTCTTGCTTTTCGAGAAGGATTCTTCTACTTACACTTATCTTCTTGCTGATGATGCTCACCCTGAAAGACCTTCCCAGGCACTGGAAATGCTTCTTTGGAATTCAAGATTACAACTTTAGGGCACTTTGATCAGTTTTATGTGTATATATTTGATTGGAAAATGATGATCTTTTTGGTGAGCTTCATTCTCTCCATTGGTAATCCATTATGCCCTATGATTTTGTGGTTGTGGGTGTGATCCAAAGTTTGTGGCTTTTAGCTCAAATTAGTTTTGAATTCAATTTTTAGTGTTTTTTTTTTAATATGCATAAAACAATGCAGCTGTAATTTCTTTATAGGAACTTATAGCTTGTCTATTCAGCTGGACCGCAAAGTAATGGGAACAAATAGTACAAGATTATAGATATTTGAGTTAATCAAGGTAGTTTGATTGTTATTGTTATTATATCATCCGTTGATATTGCTCCAAGTAATGTATCATTCTTGCTATTAGTGTCTCGAGGATTAGATTTTTGAGGCGTGGCTTTTTGATTGTCCGCGATGATCATACACTTAGGCCAAAGTTTAACCTTTCCATGTAATATTATTTTCACATCAATAATTTGTATTACGAAGGTTTAGGTTTCTACAAAAAAAAAAATAAAAAATTATTATGTCAATTTTTTTCCTTATATTTAGTTCATAATTATAACATTTATTGCAATGATATTCATAGAGAAACACGTTACATTCTCTATGATCTCTTTTCAGTCTCTATTTCAAATTAGTTAGATATAAATAGAATGCATTAAGATTAAACTAAACTTGTGCGAATCGGTTAATAACCTAGATTATCGAAATAAGAAAACACAGAGAACTAATGATAAGATAAAGTTACCCATCATCCCAACCTATCCAAAGCTGAAAAAATGAACATTTGAGTTGTGCTCTAATTCCACTTAAAGTTGAAAATTTCACTATTTCCATGATGTAAATTATGACGAGGGACACCTGACCAATCTTGGAAATTTAACGGACAATGTTCTTCCCATTCACCGTTTATCATAGTTTGTGTGTTGAACAAATACTAAAATAATTAAACAAATACATTTCGGTTTCTCGGCAAAATTTTGGCGCTTCACGCTTCACGCTTCACTTCACTCTTCCGCGGCTTTTCAAAACAAAAAAAAAAAAAAAACAAACTTCTCCGCGGCTCCGCCCCTCTTTGTCACTTAGTACCAATTTTTTCCCTGAAAATCTACAAAATGTTCTCTCTCTTAATAAACCCTAGATATTCTCTTCCGTCTTTCCAATTTTCGTTCCCCCCCTCTGGTTGCCGCGATTCTTCAAATTGGTGATAAATTGTTGCTGTCCATCACAAAGAGTTTGATCTTCGAGTAAGTTCTCAAAAACCCAGGCGAAGATTTTAGTCAAGTATTGTGTGAGTGCGTGTGTGTGTCCGTGTGTTTATTCATTTTTTTTTTTTTTTGTAATAAAATTTGCGTGCTTGATCGACTTATTTTGTTGCAATGTAACTTGTGTTTCGATGTTCCTTTTGAGTTGTGGAGTGGAAAATGGGCTATGGTTTGTGTTTGTAAATGCTTAATGCAGTGCTTGATGATCGAAATGATTTTCTTTTCGATAGGGATTTTGGGCTTGGGTGTTTGTATTTGCTTAATGTCGTGCTCGATTATGGAGTTGATTTTGGGGTTTTGTTTTTGTTTTTTTTTTTTTCACTCTAAAAAGCGTCCCGATAAATGAAAATTAGAACAATATCAAAGTCGGACTAAACTTGAAGGAAATCTCAAGTGCTTGATAAGATCACTCATATTAGCTGATGGTTAACCTCTTGGAAGGGTTTTAGTCATTCTCTATAGCTGTTGCAGGGTAATTTTGGGAAGCCTTGGGTAGAATGTTTACTGGTGTAGACGCTAGAGCTTTTATTGTTTTTTCTATAACTGGATGTTTCGCATGATAGCTTGTTAGTATGTTCTTTTCCGTGGCAATGGAAATGTTGAGGTTTAATACACAAAAACAGATTAAAAATCTGTCATGGTCAGTGTTAGCATTATTGTGTTTGTTTTCTTTCTTTCTTTTTTTTTTCTCCAGTATTTGGGGTATGTTTCTTATCCCCTTGGGTCAATATTAGGGTACAAAACTGAATTACTGTTAATGGATATGTTCATTGTTTCCATTTTGTACTAAATCAGATAACCCTTTGGCTACAAGAATGTTATTGAAAGAATATTCTTTCTCCTCTATGGAGTTTGAAGTTTGTTGTGTGATATGTTTATTTTGCATCACTGCAGATTGTTTCTGGTGTTGTAGAAATCCCTGTTTTGGTGTTGTCTGAGAATATCCTTTGCAAATCAAAGCAAGCCTTCCTTTTTCTTTAGAGTCCTGCTTGTAAATTAACTGGCATAATGAAGTAGAGTCTGAGTTTAAATAAACCGTGATCTTATACACTTTACATTCAGAACTTAATATATGTATGCCGTGATCCTTAGGCATCGCATTATCCATGAACTGCCATGTCCTTGGTCAAAACATTTCCAGCAGTGCTCCCCTGCCCCTTCCTTTGTCAAACTGCATTTAGTTTCATTGTTTCCGATGAATGTGCAATAGATGCATTGTGCAAGGGCTGCAGTTGATGCCCCGATTAAACACTCTTCTCGAAAGTCTAAATATTGGAAACTATTTGGGTCTTAGTTTTTCATATCTTGTGCTTTTAAAGAATGATTAACTCCAACTTACTGGATGACCTGAAATTCTATACTATTTAGTGAAACTTTGTTGAATTATCTTAGCTCTTCTCCAGGGAGCTGCCTCTCCTGACGTGTGAACTTATTTGAAATCATTTCAGATGATAATTTCTCGGCCAAAAGAACTGAGGACTGACAGAAGGTATGATTTTAGAGCTAGATGACTTAAAATATGACTAATACAAGGATCTACGAGATGAGAATGTCAGAATTCGAAGTTCCCATGGTTTTCTCTTCTGTCCGTACTGTCCAGATAAGACTAGGAGAGAATATGAGTTCCATGAGCTCATGAGCCATTCTTCTCTCATTGACAAAGACTCGAAAAGTTCTAGATTCAGAGAGAAAGCTAAGCATTTGGGATTGCTTAAATAATTGCAAAGGCTTAAACATAGAAGAGATAAATTTCTTAACAAAAGAGTAGGGATCAAGAGAAAGCAGATGTCTGCGGAGATGCAGAGAGCAAATCATGGAAACCTCAGCCTTCTCGGAACTTTGGTAAAAGTGCCTTCGAAATGTGGTCTACAGAGAGAGAGTGGAGAAATTGATGACTTAAATTGACGGTGTTCTGTTACCTGAAAAAACTGAGTCAGTGAAGAATGACCAGAATTTGACACCAAAATCATTGGCACCCTCTGAAAAATTTACCGAAACATGTTTACCATTAGTTTCTCATTCAACCACTCATGAACCATCAATTAGCTGAGCCAAAGATGAGCTAATTGTTTGGCCTTTGATGCTGTTGTAGCAAATATTCCTGTTGTGTTCAGAACGGCATGTGAGTGGGTAGCCAAAGGATATAATTTACTAAAAGTACACATGTGTT